CCCCCCCACCCCCACGAGAATGTCTACATTCCTCATCCTGCTCCTTCAGTCTTTTTATTCCCAAAACTCAAGGACATTTCAAAATAACACTGTTTGAGTCCTCAAGGATGCCAAAACTGCTATGCTGATAATGATGTAAACCAACGATTGCAGAATTCTTTGAGGAAGACCTAAATGGAGGTTGAGAAACAACTTTACATTTTGCTACTTTTGTTTAATAAAGGATTCTATGATTTTGTAATGATACTATGATTTTGTTGCATATCATACTCTCAGTAATAAAGTAATAGAAATGAGTTTTGATACATACTCCAACATGGATGAATCTTGAAGACCTTATACTGAATGAAATAAATCAGTCACAAAAGGACAAATAGTCTATGATCCCATTTATATGAAATAGGCAGATGTATTGAGACAAGGAATTCCTGGTGTGGTGCTATAAGATAAGCACTGGACCACAAGGTCGTTTTGAACTATAGGTCGGCAGTTAAAGCTCACTAGCTGCTCCTTGGAGACACTATACAGAGTTGCTATGAGTCTGAACCAACGCCGTGGAACTTAAAAACAACATTGAAACAAAAGTTTATTAGTGGTTATTAGGGATGGGGAGGAAGGGCAAAAAGGGGAGAAGTCTTTGCTTAAGGGGGCACTGTGATTATATGCTGTTGAGTTGCCCTCCAGCTCACAGAGACACCATGCACAAAGGGATTGTACCATTGTGATCCCATAGGGTTTTCATTGACTGTTTATGTCTCCAAGTCTTTCTTTTTTAATCTGGAAGTGCCATTAAAACCTATGCATCATCATTACAACACACAAATATCCAGTGTCAGATGGGTAGTGATTGTACTTGAAATATATTACAACACACAAATATCCAGTGTCAGATGGGTAGTGATTGTACTTGAAATATATTCGTTGGAACCATGTACAGGTGTTTTGCATGGAAGAAGAGAATTCTGCCACTAAGCCATCACTGCTTCCATGGAACACTGAATCTTGTTGAGGAAATACACAGTAATGTTGGACTTTGTTCAAGTACCTACTGAAGTTACTTGGGATCAGTTTGATCCTTCTGAAGCTTGCTTTGTTAAAGTACATGTGTAGCAGTCTGCAGCCCCACTACAAAGCATTATCTTACATGTTTTAAAAAACTACTGGATGTCCCCTTTATTACAAAGACTTTCTGCTCTGGCTAGTAGAGCCACACACTATTCCTAGCTTTGTTTGGATTTGGGAAATTGGCCTACACTACTTTCTAGGGGTTCTTTCCTTGGCCTCATGAAGTTGCCCCCAACATGTGCTGATCCCCACAGTTCTCCTTTTCTTTTTGTACAACTCAATCCTCTCTGCCGTTTTGCTCTGTAAATTCTCTCAGCCTGTCTCTTATCTCATCAGTTCACCAGGACTCCTGTTTGGTTTCCCTTTCCTTCACTGCATCCTCAAAATTGCTTTTAGGCAATAAGCCATGGCAGTTACAGGACTTAACCTAGTTTGTTTCCCTTTTTCCTCAATCATAAGTTTGCACTACCAGTTGTCACATATATGAGTGTTTTGTCCAGTTGCCTTTTAGAAGTTAATTCTTGAGGAACTGAAGTAGAAATCCTATATAAATTTTATAATTTGCACTACGAGGGAGCTTCAAAAAGTTGGTGGAAAATTGGAATTTTTCTATGAACTTTTATGAAGCTCCCTCGTATATATATTTAAATTATCTGCAAGTGAGTTGTTTTATTTATTGGATCAGTTTCTGTCCTAGCACTAAATAGTCTGTTCAGCAACCTCATTTTCCCTTTCTTTCCAAATATATACTGCCCTGAAGCATTAAAGAACTCTTAAGTGGGTTTTTGTTTTCTACTAATAGATCTACGCTTTCTTTAAACACATTATGTGTGGTTATTGCTGCTTGTAAGTAAACGCAGTATTTGTTTGCTGCTGTTCTCATCTTTGTCACTTGAATATTGCTGATTGCTGAGTTTTAAAGTGGAACCCCATAAGCAATGGTTAACTTGTCTGATTTTTTTTTCCCAGGTGGTATAGCTGTATGCTGGGGAAAAAGTGTAGTCTGGCTCCTCTAAAGGAAGAGCTTCGCATACAAGGGGTAAGTCAGTCTTTGTAATTACTGTTTAATGCTTTCTATGAGGGTAAGTCGAAATGTATGGCTACTATTGTTCCATTCCATACATGCATGGTTCTAGTCTAAACAGAAAGTGTCTTTACAATCAGTGGATGGCTGCAGACAAGTTATCTCAGTAATATACTTGTCTTAGGCTCGCTGTGGGGCCTTCAACAAAGTCCATTCAGAACAGGGGCTTCTGGGGGAATCTGCTAGGTCAGTTAAATTCAAGGCAGAGAAGTCAGCTCAGCTATGGTGACTGTCTTTGAGGTTCCAAAGGTGTACTCTTGATAGATTTTCTTCAGGATGATCATGGGTGCTTACTAAGAAGTATTAAGAAAATTGAAAACTGCATTTGGTTAGAAAGGCCAGTCAAGTTGTGCTAAAAAAAACGTTTGCCTATCACTACAGTGCACCTGCTTATTCTTTGAGGGTAGCAAGGGCTGTCCTGGGAGAAATTTGTTGGGAACCTCACCCAATCTATCCTACAGCCCTGATCTTGCCCCTTCAGACTTACTTTGTTCCCAAAATTTGAAGAACATTTCAAAAGAATACTATTTGAGCCCCTCAAGGATGCCAAAACTGCTGATTTAATATGGTGTAAATTGAAGAGTACAGAATTCTTCTAGGAAGGGGCTAGAAACACTGCCTGCATAAGTGTATAGACCCATGAGCAGAATATGGGACCTTATCCAGGGAAGCAGCACCACCAGAGATGGAGACAGAGATGATGCCATGAAGAGAGAGAGCAGCTGAGGGCTCCAGACTCATGAAAAGAGAAAGGCTGTGTGCTCATGGCCAGGAGGCAGATTTGCAGAATGTGCCCTTGGGTTGTTTAAATGGCATATGTTCCTGAGTGTTTTTGTGTACATCAAAATACTGCTACTACTAACAACAACAGAGGGAATAGAAGCAATACTGTTGAATGATGATGCATGGAGGGGATGAAAAACCGATGTTCTCCCATGTAAACTATCACTCAATTCATAATCAAAGTTTAAAAAAAAAAAGTGTATAGACCTAGATGAAGGATATGGCAAAAAACAATAGCCTCATATCCTAATATTTTTGTTTAATAAAGGTTTCCATGATTTTATAGCAGTTTTTTTACTTATCCTCTTTAGTTTTAGTATAGAATTTTCCTTTATAGCCTTAAAACTGTGTGTGTGTAGAATTTTAGTGTTAGAAGAGATTTTTTATAGATTATTATACAGTAATAGAATGTTAGAAACCACAAGTCAGAAAACTTGATGTCTTAACTTTGAACCAACCCTAACCCTTACTGTATTTTTCCACATATTGTTGTTAAGTGCTGTTGAGTCAGTTCCGACTCATAGCCTATATAGGGTTTCCAAGAATCAGCTGGTGGCTTTAAACTACCAACCTTGTGGTTAGCAGCCCAGTGCTTATTCTACAGAACTCCTTTTTACATACCCACAGAAACAGTGCATGTTCATAGGAAACTAATGCACATGAGATTGCACAGTTTTCAGAAAATGAATGATGTACATGTTATTTTTGTAAAACTATGGTATAGATGTAGAAACTGAAGGCCAGCTAAATTTAGGGACTTGTTCTAGGTTGCACAGGTAGTTTTTGAAGAAAGTAGCCTAAGTCCTGTGTGCTTGTCACTATGGTGACAATCCATACAAGTTCTGACCCTATGCTGCACCCCTCCTGTTTGATGGCAATAAGATGACTTCTCAGAGTCCTGGTGTGGCAGTGTAGAATAAGTGCTGGCCTGCTAACTGCAAGGTTGTGCATTCATACTCATAAATTGCTACTTGGAAATCCTTTACAGGGTTGCTATGAGTCAGAACTGACTCAATAGCACTTACCAACAACAAAATGACTTCACAGGAAAAGGGGTCAGATGTGGGCTCAGTGGTAGAAATCGAGTGTTCTGATTTCTAGTTTCTCTGACACTCTACTCTTCCCTCATACACTCTCTCTGCTTATAATTGTGAAAGTGACAAAGTGGTTACTTTTTTCCCCCCGAACTCTTTGATAGACAAAAGGAACAGTACATAGCTGTTTCTAACCAGCTTTGATTGTCTGTCTCTCTTAAAAAATAAAATTAAAAGTCATTTAACATCTTACAAATCCTTTTCTGAAGAGCTGTTTTGAGCGTTTCATATTTGCACCTTTGTGTCAAATCTGTAAATTTTCTTTATTGTTTTATGGGAGGGGAAAAAAATACAGCTTTGCTGAAAGGTAATGTATACGTTGATTATTAGGCAATAATAACTGCTTTTCGGTTGGTAGTGTTTGTTACCTGATCAAAAAAAGGACCAACACATAATTTAACGTGAGGCAGCAGCCAAGAAAACATTGGTTAGAACAACTTCAATTTGATGTGATGCTTTGTTTATCTGTTTCAGGTTCCTAAAGTCACCTACACTGAGTTCTGTCAAGGTCGGACAATGAGATGGGCTTTGGCATGGAGTTTTTATGATGATGTCACAGTGCCAGTAAGTAGAAACCTTTCTTGGGTGTCACATGGTGGGTTTTGTTGTTACTGTTGCTAGGTACTATTGGCTCTATCCATAGTGACCCCATGTATACCAGAACATAACACTGCCTAGTTCTCTGTCATCCTCACATCATTGCTATGTTTGAGCCCATTGTTGTGGCCACTGTGCACTCCATTTCATTGAGGGTCTTTTTTTTTTTTTTTTGCCTTACTAAGCATGATGTCCTTTCCCAGAGATTAGTCCTTCCTGATAACATGTCCAGAGTACATGAGATGACATCATCTGGTCATCACTTCTAAGGAGCATTCTGACTATGCTTTTTCCAAGACAGTGGTGGGCTTTAGTAGGTCATAAATTAATTAAACCTGTACTGGCCTGTTTCCCTGAAGTTAGTCCCAGATGTTTCTTTCAAAATTCAAAGTGGTTGTAAACAAGACCCAGTTCTCTGGAAGTCTGACTGACTCTTTTATATGGGATTGTCATGTATGTAGGGGTTAGTGATTCTTGCTCAGGAAACATAAATTAATTGAAAATGCACCTTTTAGGAATTAAAAATCCAGGTAATGTAACCTATAGAAACACATTGGAGATGTAATTATTCAGGTGGACATATCCCACGAATTGAGATTGAAGCCTGTTTTCTATGCATTTTCTGGTTCCTGGTGAATTTATATGTTAACATTTTGAGTATTGGCCTTTGATATGTGACACTTAGGGGTCACTCTAGTGAAGGGTTATATTTTGGCTTTAAGATCAACACTAGAATATTGATCGTATTTCCAAGCTGAGTGATAGATAATTGGCTCATTATCCAATTTCCTCTAGCTTATGTATGCTTGAACAGTTTCTAGAATTAAAAAATTAAAGAAAAAATTGCTTGCCTTGAATAGAACCATTGTTTCACAAACTTCTCATTGTCCTGTGTGCTGCTATATGTAAAGTAAAAATGCTTCTGAGCTGGCCATGCTGAACAGTTTCCTGGACTGAGCTGAGAGTTGGTGATAGAACAACATCTGTTTGTACCCACATTTCCCTCACATGTTTTACATCTCCAAAAGAGTGAGTGACTTACTGGGGCCTAGAGTTATAGTTTATGAGTACATCGCTCAGCATGTTTTCCTTCTTTCCAGTGGATTTATGAAGGCCTAGATGGTACTTAACTATGACAACAACAACAGAGCCCTGGTAGCACGGTAAATTACAAACTGGGCTGCTAACTGCAAGGCCACTAGTTTGGATCTACCAGTTGCTTTGCAGGAGAAAGATGAAGCTTCTGCTCCCGTAAAGATTTATAGCCTCGGAAACCCTGTACAAGGTTCTGTGAGTCAGAACCAACTTGGTAGCACACCACCGTCAGTACCTTGTCCTAGGGAATCTTGGTATAGAACTGTAGAATAAGCACTGAACTGCCAGTTCAAATCCACCAGCCACTCCTTGGAAACCCTATATAGGGTCCCTATGAGTCAGAACCAACTCTGACACTTAACAACAATACCTTGTCTAGAGCCTTGGTTTGTGCTATAGGATAAACACTGGACTGCTAACCGCAAAGTTGGCTATTCAAACCCAGCCACTTCTCAGAAGAAAGGAGGCATCTACTCCCATAAAGATTTACAGCCTCAGAAATCATAGTGTCATCACAGTCAACTCTACTCTGAGGAGGCAGCTCTGCCCCAGTTGCATTTTGAGTGCCTTCCAACCTGAGGGGCTCATTTTTATATCTCACAGTGTTTCTCTGCTATTCATAAGGTTTTCAGTGACTAAATATTCGGAAGTAGTCCATCTCTCCTTCCTAGTCTGTCTTCGTCTGGAAGCTCATCTGAAACCTGTCCACTATGGGTGACCCTGCTGGTATTTAAAATACTGGTGACATAGCTTTCAGAATCACAGCAATGCACAAGTCACCACAGTATGACAAACTGACAGACGAGTGGTGGATACAGGGTCCTTAAGAGTAGGAATTCACTTGATGGCAGTGGGTTTGGTTTTGGTTTTTAGTGCCCTGACCAAGGGAGCCTTGGTGGCCCAGTGATTAAGCACGTGACTGGTCCGCAGTTCGAAGCTACCAGCCACCCCACAGGATAAAGTTGTAGCCATCTGCTTCTGTACAGATTTACATCCTTGGAAACCCTATGGGGCTATTCTACTCTGGCCTGCAGGTACACGGTCAGTCAGAATTGACTCCACAAGTGTGGTTTTGAGTTTTTGTTGTTGTTGCTGTTTACCTTGTCCTTCAGGTCTCTGACCCACAGCCAAATAGGTGCATTGTAGGTGCTCCTTTCCTAGGGTCTTGGCTGCTCTTGGTCTACAGTAATCTTGAATGTTGCTATCCCTGCTATTGTAGGACAGAATCACCAAGAACAAGCTTTTCTGAATATGGGAGCCTGTCTTTGCTCTACCCTTGGTCTGTTACAACTAGGGCTGTGGGTTGCAGTTGGTTTTCTAGTCCTATTTAAGTGTCCTTTCTTGTGGGACCCTCTGTACTTACAATGGCTGTAGGGAATCTGAAGATTAGTGTTGGAAATACTCACTGGCTAAAAAGATGATTGCATGAAAGATGGTAGCATAACACATGAATGTAATTTGTGTCACTGAATTCTACATGTAAAAATGGCTGAGATGCCAAATGTCTTCGTATGTGTATAGTACTGTTGTTGTGAAGTACCGTGGAGTCGGCTCCAACTCGGAGATGCTTCTGCTCTTTTGACTCCACCCTCCCTAACCCCCAGGATTATCTTTACTGTCGCCTCCTAAAATATCAGGGCTTTCACACCAAATGGTTAAACTCATTAGTAACTCCTTAAGTTCTCCCTGTGCTGGCACTAACAGCTGCAGGAAAGTGGAACTGCACCTGTTTCCAAATGATTTCTTCTTAACCTACTTTCCCTCTTGTTGGCACCACAGGTGGAAGCGTTTATAATGAGTCCTCACACTTTCCATGCCAGCTCTGAGACCAGAGCTTGCCCTCTCGGATTTAGTAGTCATTTCACATCCAGATACCCAATGTAAACATCCAGATCGATTTCTGTGTTAGCAAAATAGACTTATTTTGAAAAGGAATCTCGTAAACCTACTTTTCTTTTAGTTCATCGTTTAGCCCTATTCATAGTTTCCAACTGTTAAAACAGAATGCCTCTTGCTAAGGGCCTCTGATTTTTCCCATGGTGGAGTACTCATCCCTCTCCACCACTACCCCCAACCCCAAGCTGTTATTAATGCATTCCCAGGTGTTCCATTAGATGTACTTAAACTGCTACAGGAAAAATGGCAATTTCTGATTTGTAGTAACCCAGCAACAGTTTCTTAGCACTGATGCCCTGGATCAGCAACTGCTTTCCCTGAGGGTAGGATCAGGGTGCTTGTAAAATTTTTATTGGGCTGTCCTCTTGGTTCCCGTTTCCCCATGGCTTCCTTCTTGAAAAGCTCACCTGACTTACCCCTATCGCTCTTTGGGGTAAGATAAGGGAGGAATCTGCTGTTAGAGGAGCCGAGAAAGCCAAGGAATAGAGTTAGTGGAGCAGAAATATTGACCTACTTCCCCACCCCACCCCCACTTTTGCCTTTTTAGGGTAAATGTGCAAGTTACTATGGCAACTTCTGTTTTCACTTATCTCTGGGCCTACTGTCTGTTGGTGCTGAATGCTGAAAATTCTAATTCACTGCTGATTGAAGTGCCTGTACTAAGCCCATTTCTCTTGTCTGGATTTATTTTAGCAACAAAAAGATAGGTCCTAGTGTTGATAGAATTTTGGGCATTCATTTCTGCCTGGTGATGAGTATGAAGAGGTATATTTTATTGACTATTCTTTACAGAATTTCAACAAGTGACTTAGAATGCCTCTTTGTCCCCACTTCTCCTCTGATTACTCAAGGCATTATTGCTTTGCTTTCAGGAAGTTTGACACTTGTTAAAGAAAATTATGTTGTGCACTCTTGGTTTAGCCATTGCCCAGAAATTCTTGTTTTAAAAAGATTTTCCCCTTATGTTCAAGATACTGCCTTTAAGTGTGCATGTTTTCGTCTAGGGAGTAATACTTGAAATTGCTTTGGGCTCTTTGGTTTCTGGGCAGTAAGGCAGTGCCATTTTATTGGTAGTTAGATGTTTCCAAAGTCACAGATCCACTCCAGGAGCAAGATTGTGGGTGGCTGTTGGAGCACAAGAGGAGAGGGAGGTGGGAGTAATTAGGTGAAGTTGTAAGTGCCAGAGCTGGTGTCTCTTCGTATAACCCCATAGAATCCTGACTAGTTCCAAATAGATTAGGGATTCTGTAGTAAATGCCCCAGGATTTGACAGTGGGGCGGATGTTAGATTGGTACTCCAGGCCTCCAGATTGTTGTTGTTGTTGTTGTTAAGTACTGTTGAGTCGACCCTGACCCATAGCGATCCTGTATAGTGTTTCCAAGGAGCAGCTGGTGAGCTTGAACCACTGAACTTGCAGTTCAGACGGCTTTGCAGTCTGGGCGCGCATTAACCCACAGTGCCACACCCGACCTCCAGATTGGTACACCTTTATTTTAGCTAATGCAGACCTGTTTTGGTAAATTGTACGTATTGATTTTATTTTCTGGAAGAGTTCTGCTGTTAAGAAATATTTTGAAAATCAACAGTAAACCAAGCTGTGCCTCGTGCTACAAAACAGATGTGATGATTAGTAAAGTCAAAACTAAGGAACCTCATCTTAGTTATTTTTCTTATTAATGTATCATCTTCACTGTGGTGATATCAGATATATATGACATCATTTCCCACCCCATAAGAAGCTTAGTTTTTAGGAGAAGGAAGAACCATAAACACCCACATCAAATAAAACAGTTGATTCAAAATTATATAAGTACTGAAATGAGTAATAAGGAAAAGGATGGTTGAGTGTTTAGAAAAGGAAACGTCAAGCCAAGCTTGTTAGAGAAGGAAGAATCGTAAATGTAGGAATTATACTGAGGAGCACTGTGAGCAGGACATCAATAGGTTTTGAAATTTTAAAGCCCTGGATATGATC